CTGCTTGGGACAAACATATCGAGCACATGCAGTATGCATTCCTTACACAATCTCCACATTTCTGTGGTGTTCTTCCTTGACAGCATCTGTTCCCAGTTTATGTTACCCAGTTCTTGCCTAACTGAATTGTAATTACCCTTCCCCCAATTATAAACTTTACCCTGCCATATGTACCTATCCTTATCCATGACTATCGTGAAAGAAACAGAGTCATGATCACTACTGCCAAAATGCTCCCCTACCGACGGGTCTAACACTTGGCCCAGTTCGTTGCCAAGCACCAAATCCAAAGTGGCCTCTCCTCGTGTTGGTCTATCTACATACTGCGTCAGGAATCCTTCCTGAATGCGCTGGACAAAATCTGCTCCATCTAAACTATTACAACTAAAATGTTTCCAATCAATATTTGGAAAGTTGAAGTCACCCATGACTACAACCCTGTGACTTCTGCACCTTTCCAGTATCTGCCTCCCAATCCGCTCCTCTACTTCTCTGCAACTATTAGGGGGTCTGTAAAAAACCCCCAACAAAGTGACTGCTCCTTTCTTGTTCCTGACCTCAACCCAAACTGACTCTGTAGACATATCATTCTCAAACTGCCTTTCAGTAGCTGCTATACTCGCCCTGACTAGCAATGCCACTTCTCCACCTCTTTTTCCACCCTCCCTATTTCTTTTAGAGCATCTAAATCCCGGAACTTCCAATATCCGTTCCTCTCCCTGAGTTACCCAAGTTTTTGTAATGGCCACAACATCGTAGTTCCAAGTACCGACCCATGCTCTAAGTTCATCTGCTTTATTTCTGATATTTCTTGCATTGAAGTATACACACCTCAAACCAACTCGGTGTCCGCAATTACGCTCCATCGACTACATTTCTTTATAAACCACCTCACTCCCTGTTGTGTCTGTTGGAAGGCCGAATACCTCATCCTCTGAATTATAAATCCCGTTCCCCACCCCCTGCCAAACTAATTTAAACCATCCCGTACAGCACTAGCAAACCTCCCTCCCAGGATATTTGTGCCCTTCCGGTTCAGGTGCAACCCGTCCTTACTGTACAGGTTCCACCTTCCCCAGAATGTGCTCCAATTATCCACATAATGGAAGCCCTCCCTCCTACACCAGCCCTGTAGCCACGTGTTTAGCTGCACTCTGTCCCTATTTCTTACTTCGTTATCATGTGGCACTGGTAGTAATCCAGAGATAACTACCTTGTTTGTCCTGGACTTCAGCTTCCAACCTAACTCCCTGTACTCGTTTTTCACTTTCTCAGTCCTTTTTCTACCTATGTCATTGGTACTGATGTGTACCATGACTGCTGGTTGCTCACCCTCCTCCTTAAGGATCTTGAAGGCATGATCTGAGACATCATGGACCCTGGCACCCGGGAGGCAACATACCATCCTTTCATCTCGTTCGCGTCCACAGAACCGCCTGTCTATGCCTCTTACTATTGAATCCCCCACTACAATTGCTCTCCTATTCTTCCCCCTTCCCTTCTTTGCCACAGGGTCAGGCTCAGTGCCAGAGACCTGTCAGCTATGGCCTTCCCCTGGTAGGTCGTCCCCCGCAACAGTATCCAAAATGGTATACTTATTATTGAGGGGAACGGCCACAGGGGATCCCTGCACTGTCTGCCTATTCCCTTTCCCCCTCCTGACAGTCACCCAGCTACCTTTTTCCTGTACCTTGGGTGTGACCACCTCCTTATAACTCCTCTGTATCACCCCCTCAGCCTCCCGAATGATCCTGAGTTCATCCAGCTCCAGCTCCAGTTCCCTAACACGGTTTTTGAGGAGCTGGAGTTGGGTGCACTTCTCGCAGGTGAAGTCAGAGGAGACACCAGCAGTGACCCTTACCTCCCACATCCTGCAAGAGGAGCATGCTACTGCCCTAGCTTCCATTCCCTCTACTCGAGATTTCCAGAAGGAGAATAAAAAAAAAGCCTTACTTTACCGAACCTCCACACAGTCTTTTTTGGTTAGAGGAGGAGGACGGGTGTGAGACACTACACGTGTAGTGTTTCGGGTTTAGCCAATGCTCGAATTTATCTGTTTCTTCCTGGCTCGCGTTCCCTCCACACACCCACCACTGAAAACAAGAGGGCCGCTTGCTGCACGAGGTAAGTTTTTTATACAGGGAGAAACAAAAACCGCCTTACCCTCCCGGCGGCACTCTGGCTCGCGCTGCTGTCACTGAAAACAAGAGGGTCGCTTGCTGCATGAGGTAAGTTTTTATACAGAGAGAAAGGTACAGGTGACAAGAATAAATAAATCAATCAATCAATATTGTCGTCCTTTGCCTTCAACCCTATGAACATGGTGTCTGGCCAGGAGTATGGAATTTGTGATTTTACCCTTTATGTTTTCGTTCCAGTTACAACTGGGTTGCTTGCCGTGTTTTATATCACATTACATTTACAAACAGGAACAAGTCATTCAGCCCAACAGGTTGATGCAAATGTTTCTACTCCATGTAAACCTCATCCCACCTTATTCATCTCACCCTATCAATATACATTTATTCCTTTCTCCTTCATATACGTACGTAGCTCCTAACTTGCCTCAAAAACACCATGTGGCAGTAAGTTTCACATTCTAATTGATTTCTATATGAAGACATTTCTTCTGAATTCAATATTGAATTTATCAGTGACTATCTTACATTTATAGTCTCTCGTTTTGGACTTGCCGATAAGTGGAAACATGGGGCTGAAACAGGCATGATGGAGCAGCTGGGGTGGAGTTGGAAGAAGGTAGGAGAATTGGTTGGGAGTACATGAATTGGATTCTTGACATTAAGTAGGCTGTCCCCAGTTATGTTGGAGGTGGGAAAGACACAATTCAGGAATTCCAATTGCTGGCAGCAGGAATTAGGTTCATTAATGAGCCAATTAAAGCCAATAATCACTGAACCCACCTAAATTTAGTGGAGTTTCAGGAATTCACATTGCTCTCCTGTGGATTCTTCTTTTGTATTTGCTCAGGGCCTTGCACAGAGGTCCTCTTTGACAGGCACTCTGTTCTGCTATCATCCTTCTATAACTTCTGCAGAGCCTCTAAATTCTTCTTGCAATTGGAGACCAGAACTGAGAGTGTTTGTACTGTGAACATTTTCTTCACTGTACTTGAAATTTAGTTCGAGTAATTAAACTGTGATGTGGGGCTGAAATTTTGTTTGAATATGCAGGTACATTTGTGTCTACATATAGCCACACAGCTCTTTTTGCAGGAAATCTAATTTTCTTTTACATTCTCAGGTGCAGGGGATTTTTTTTCTGACCTCCTTATGAGTCAGGAATGTGTAATGTGTAAAATACATACCCAGTACTTCTCAGGTCAGGTTACTATGGAATCAAGATGGGATTTCCTTCCCCACATCATTTTTCTCTGGCAGTGTTGGACTTTGGAAGCCCATTAAAAGCTTGCCAGGTTCGAGAACATGTGAAGAAAATGGAAAGCCAACTGAGGAGTCTGGAATCTTATGAAAGATAAGTGTAAAGTATTTTAACAGCTTCAAATATCATGATTAGGAGAGGTATTGCAAAGTAGGTATGTTTTTAACGCAGCCACTTATACAGATTTGTCCTTACTGATATCGAACAGCCTTGTACATTTGTTCACGTGCATTACAGTGCTTTCCCACTGAAGAAAACACAGTCCTGTCAACTGTGCAATCATCTTTTCTACCTTGATTTAAATGGGTCTGGTTGATTAAGTAAACCATTTTTGAAACTTTGAGAAGTTGTCTGAACTTGAAAAACATTTAACCACATGTACATTGATTGATGGGGCACTCTTCTTTGAAATTGAAATGAGGATCTGCTGTGTTTTTCTTCCCAGAGATCCAATGGATAGCTGTGGCTGTTATCAATGATTGACTAAGTTTCAAGTGTTTCCATACTCTTCATGCACTTCAATGCAGCTCGAGATTGATCTGTGAATCAGACCCGGGCGTAAAAAGACAAAAATGGTGTGTGAAGTGGCACGTTGGTCACGTGTAGTTTCTAAGCAGCAAAAGTGTGCAGGGGATATTCCAGAAACCAGAAGAAGATTCAATCCATCATCTCTATTAAATATGAACTGAAGTAAAAGTGCCTCCAGAATAGCTCTCCTTGAGCGCTTATTTTTTTAACCAGGATGTAATAAGAATTTAATGCTGAAGCAAAAAAATTAGAAATCAATCAGGCATATAAATAAATCAAACTCTGATAGTTTGACTTTGATTAACTATTCTAACCATTTTCTCTCACCTTTATAACAATTAAGTGAAATTAAATAGAAATGTTCAAAATTAACACTACAGCAAGAACATGCAAAGAATGTAAAACACAGAAACATGTCATTTTGCTGCAATACTCAGTGACAGCATTTATATTCCACAAAAGCCTCCTTCAGCTCTACTTACTTAATTTCACCCTATCAACATAACTTTCCACTCCTTTCTCCCTAGCTTTTTGTCTAGCTTTCTTCAAATGCATCTACATTATTCATCTCAATCATTTACGAACAAGTTTGCCTTCTCACCCTTTCTCAGAGGAGCATAGTCCTAGCTATGAGAATTGTTCAATTCTGTTAGTGAGCAGGTTTTAGACTGGTTCACATCTGAATTATCTACCATTTATTTAGGATGGATGCTGGCAAGCAGCAGTGCTTAAGAACTGAATTTTACAAGCAAGGAAGTTGTGGGTTGGCTGCAATGTAGAAAGAAAGGCATGAACATAAACATCAATATTTCTCAAGACATAACAACTTTAACCTTGCTTGACTGATGAATAACTCCATCGTATTAAGTTTAGAATATAAATTCTCTTCTCTGTCATGTTGATGTTAGCAGTCAAATGATTAAACTGCACTTCTTGATTTAATTGTAGAGTATTTAAGGTTTTAAAATAGAGTTGGCGGAAAAAACTGCTCTCATTTTTTTTCTCATTTTATACAATGTAATGCTCTCATATGACAAAACATCAGAAAGTAATAGTATGCATTTAACACTTACCCACACAGGGGAGGGAATATCCAAGTTTCGGGTCATGAATAAATTGCCGGTCATTCAGCCGTGTCACACAATATAGGTGGAAACAATCCAAGCATATGACATGTCGATCCATACACGGAAATATCAACACTGGATCACTAAGCAGGGAAAGAAAAGTCAGATAATTCTTGTACAAGTTAATTCTTCTGAAAGAGTTAAAGTTGCATTAGCTCCACCCAACCATATTTTGGGACTTATTGCTGCTGACAACTTTTCTATAGTAGGATAGATGCACAAAACAGAAAGGGAAAGGGCAAGTGTAGGATCATGCATACATACCGGTGCGAAACACCAACTGCCCGATAATTGTAAACATAAACAAAAATCCCTCCAAGTGAACCTGTTAGCTGTGTCCTAACGGACACCAGACTGTTCCAGCTCCTTGAAATGTCTGTTAGAGATACTGTTCCTAAACTCATCAGCTCATTATTAAGGCTCCTAATGAAGCTAGGGGGTCGTTAATTGGAAATGAGCATATTCCCTGATATCCCCAACCATAACACCAATGCCACATTTTGAAAATCAAAAACTGTCCTGAAGATGTTACAATCCAGGGATGGCTCCAGGATTGCAATTTTCAAATCGTGAAACACCAATTCCTGATCCATAGCACTGGAAAATTCAGTATGTGCTGACAGTGAGGTTTGTAGGATAGCAATCAGGGATGGTAACTTCAGGAACTTTTCCCTCCCTCATCCAGTGTGCAGAGGAGTTATACTTTCCACGATTAACTTTCTCTGACCTAGTGTCCTTTTGTTCTTAAAAATTCATATTGTACCGTCTGCCATAATTACCCAGCCAGCAACCATGGAATGACTCAGAATGTTTAGAAAAATATAATGTTGAAGTTGTACAGGACATTGGTGAGGCCTCTTCTGTGTCCATTTCTGGTCGCCCAGTTATAGGAAGGATATTATCAAACTGGAGAAGGTTCAGAAGAGATTTACCAGGATGTTGCCAGGTGTAGAAGGTTTGAGTTATAAAGAAAGGCTGGATAGGCTGGGACTTTTTTCACTGGAGCGGAGGAGGTTGAAAGGTGATCTGATAGAAGTTTATAAAATAATGAGAGGTATAGATAGAATTGATGGTAGCTGTCTTTTCCCTAAGATGGAGCCTTTCAAGACTAGGGGGCACATTTTTAAGGTGAGAGGAGATTTAATAAAAACATAACAGGCAATTTTTTTACAGATTGGGTGGTTCGCATATGGAATGAACTTCCTGATGAAGTGGATGTCGGTAGAATTACATCATTTAAAAGACATTTGGATGGATATATGAATAGGAAAGGTTTGGAGGGATATGGGCCAATAACAGGCAGGTGGGACTAGTTTAGTTTTGGGAATATGTTCAGCATGGTCTGGTTGGACAGAAGGAGTCATACAGCATAGAAACAGTTCATTTTTCTAACCCTTTGCCCAAAAATTCATAAGACGTTCTAAACATCTTCCACCTGAGCAGGTAAAAGAGGCAAAGTAACATAATACTTATATATACACTACATTGTTTCAAAAGAGAATCTTAATATACATTTTGCATAAACTACCTTATTCTTAATGTCCCAGTTATTCATCTACTCACACATTTGTCAGATCCTGTTAGTAATTGGAAAATATGAAGGAGAAGGATGAATTTGCATATATGCAGTACATAATTATGACCTCAAGGTATCCTAGAGCATTTTACAGCCATTATAGTACATATAAAGTATTTTCACTGTTATCATGTCAGAAATGCAGAACACTGTCAAAAAATTAGGTCCAATTTTGCAACGAGGCCTAGAGCTAAACTACTCAACAATGTTACACTGCTGGCTGCTGTCATGATTGATGACATCAACATGTCACTTATGCTTCTGTTTCCATCAAACTTGGCTATTCCAGTGGTATCTTGGCCAACTATTCTTTGAAATGAAAGTAATGTCCCTCAAATGGGCACAGAGTGCCTATCAATGAAAGACAGCAGCTACACCCCAACTCCACCTTCCCCACCCCACATATTTTTATTCATTCACAGGATGCAGGTGTCACTGTCCAGGCCAGTATTTACTGCCCACTGTAATTGCCCAGACGATAGTCAAGAGTCAACTACATTGCTGTGGGTCTGGAGTCGGTGCAGCATGACCGCAGACAACCAATCAGGATTCAGGAGACTCATCACCACCATCAGATGATTCCTTTCCTAAACTTAAATGGGAAGACTTCCTAACACTGGAAATCCAACGCAGGTACTCTTACATCTGTTGACTGCTCCATCACCAGGTGCTGCACAAAATCCAGCCTGGAATTTTTTCCAGCAGTGTAAGGAAGAAACTACTTATGGCTTCATGAACAAGCTGCTTCTAATGAGAGGTAAAGAACTGGTGTAGCCATCCATACAATTCCCAACACACAAATGTAGAGGAGGCAAGACTAGCGATGGGTAGGGTTTCAGCTTACGTGGGCATCAGAGTTGACAAACATGGAGCCCAAAGTACCTGGCGACCCAATTAATTATTCAGAACCTGGATAGTATGATTTGATTTTGAAGGTGATTCCAATATGATCATTTTCCTTACAGTAAATTGCACCACTGTTACCTCAATACCAATCTTTCATCTCTGACAGAGCCCTCACACGTACAACATCAACCGAGGGGAGGTTGCTCTGACAATTCTTCAGAAGACCTAACTTCTTCTGAAGATGCATTGTCACATCACAGTTAGAAAGAGGGACTCTTAAAAGTAGTACATAAAGAATTCAGGGCTCTGAATTCCTCCTAAGGGTGAAGGGCAAGGGCAGAAAGTTCACGGAATCCTGGATGTCAAGAGGTATCGAGAGTCGATAAAGAAAAATAAAGAAGTATATGTCGGGTACAACGTATTAAAAACAGGGGAGGCTGTTCAAAGTGTAATGAGTGTAGGGGGTTGCTTAAAAAAGAAACTTTGAGAGCAAAGAGGGGGTATGAAATATCTTTGGCACATATGATTAAGAAAAACCTCAAGGCAGTTTATAAGTATATTAAGAATAAGATGATTACCAGGGAAACAGTGAGGCCTAATAGGGACCAAAGTGGCAATCTGAGTGTGGGGCAGGAGGGCATGGATGAGGTCTTAAATTATTATTTCTCATCTGTATTCACAGACAAGAAGACATTGTAGCTGGGGCTTTCAGTTGGGATGGTGAGATTCTAGAACACTTTAAAATGAATAAGGAGGAGGCATTAAATGTTTTAACAGGGATAAAGGTGCATAAATCACCAGGGCCTGATGAGATGTATCCTAGGCTACTATGGGAGGAAAGAAAGGAGATTGCTGGGGTCTTGGTAAAGACATTTAATACTTTGATGGGTGCAGGTGAAGTACTAGATGACTGGAGGTTAGCCAAAGTGGTTCCTTTGTTCAAGAAGGTCAGCAAGGAAAGGCCAGTTAATTGCAGACCAGTTGGTAGTTTAGTAGATCACTTTAGTATTTTGGAAATTATTGCAAAAAATTTTGAGGGATAGGATTAGCAATACTTGAAAGGCAGGGATTGATCAGGGATAGTCAGCATGGATTTGTTAGAGGGAGATACTGTCTGACTATAATTGAGTTTTTTGAAATGTCAGTCAATGTATTGATTAAGGTAATGTAGTTGATGTGGTTTACATGGACTTTAGTAAGGCGTTTTACAATGACCCACATGGGAAGGGTGGTCCAAAAGCTAAGAGCCAATGGGATCCAAGGCAAGTTGACAAACTGGATCCTAAATTAGCTTGCAAATAGAAGGGTTGTTTTTGTGTTTGGAAACCTATGACCAACAGTGTACTACAGGGATCAGTGCCAGGACCCTTGCTGTTTGTTATGTATATTAACAATTTGGATATGAATGTAGAAAGTATAATTAACAAATTTGTAAATGACACAAAAATTTGTGATTTTGCTGATAGTGAGGAAGTTGGTCTCAGACTACAGTCTGATATTGATCAGCTGCTAAATTGGGCACAGCAATGGCAGGTGGAATTTAATCCTGATAAGTGTGAGGTGATGCATTTTGTAAGGTCTGATAATGGAAGGATATGCCCAACGAATGGTATGTTCGTAGTGAGTACTTAGGAACAAAGGGACCTTGGTGTACAAGTCCATAGATCCCTGAAGGTGTCAGCAAAGGTAGACAGTGTGATGAAAAGGCATTCAGAATGCTTGCCTTATTAGCAGGGTGTAGAGTATAGGAGCAATGAAATCTTGTTACAACTTTATAAAGTATTGCTTAGGCCATAGATGGAATATTGCAGTTCTAGTCGCCACACTATTGGAAGGATACAATTGCACTAGAAAGTGTGCAGAGGAGATTTACCTGGAATACAGCTACCTAGAATACACCTCCTCCCACCCACCTTCCTGCAAAAATGCTATCCCCTATTCCCAATTCCTTCGCCTCCACCGCATCTGCTCCCAGGATGAGGCATCCCACTCCCGTACATCTCAGATGTCCTCGTCTTTCAAGGACCGCAACGTCCCCCCCTCAGTGGTCGAGAACGCCCTCGACCGTGTCTCCCGCATTTCCCGCAACTCATCCCTCACACCCCCTCCCCGCAATAACAACCAAAACAGAGTCCCCCTCGTCCTCACATGCCATCCCACCAACCTCCGGATCCAATGCATCATCCTCTGACACTTCCGCCATCTGCAATCCGATCCCACCACCAAAGACATTTTTCCCTCCCCACCCTTATCTGCTTTCCGGAGGGACCACTCTCTCCGTGACTCCCTTGTCGGCTCCACACTCCCCTCCAGCCCCACCTCACCTGGCACTTTTCCCTGCAACCGCAGGAAGTGCTACACCTGCCCCTACATCTCCTCCCTCACCCCTATCCCAGGCCCCAAGAAGACTTTCCACATCAAGCAGATGTTCACTTGCACATCTGCTAATGTGGTATACTGCATCCGCTGTTCCTGTTGTGGCCTCCTCTACATCGGGGAAACCAAGTGGAGGCTTGGGGACCGCTTTGCAGAACACCTATGCTCGGTTCGACTAAACAACTGCACCTCCCAGTCGCGAACCATTTCAACTCCCCCTCCCATTCCGCAGACGACATGTCCATCCTGGGCCTCCTGCAGTGCCACAACAATGCTACCCGAAGG